CTGCTGCGCCACTGACAACCCCCCCACTTTTTGCAAATAAAAAGAGGGCCCTGCCCTTTACGAAGGGACTTGTGAGTTTGGGTGAATGCTAGAGCCTGGTTCGAATCGTTGCTGGCTTCTGCACTTTCAAAGGACATCAGCCATTGGGACTTCGTCCCATTAGCCTTTGGGGCATATTTGTACATAACGTTGCCAACCTCCAGATGGTTGTATAACAAAAAATGGCTATACAGTGGGTGTGATTTACTGTTAGGGTTGCCAGCCTCCAGTGGCAAGGCCTGAGTGGCTTCCAGCCGCCGGGCCCGCTGATCTGCTTCCCCCCAGCTCCGCCACTGATCCCCCCCCCACTCCTGTGACGAGACTTGATGGGGCTGAGAGAACTCTGACACAAACTGCTCTTTTTCAAGGACAGCTGTGCCAGAGCTTGTGACTGACCCAAGGTCACATCAGCAGGTGCAAGTGGAGGAGTGGGGAATCAAACCCGGTTCTCCCAAATTAGAGTCCGCACACTTCCAGCCGCCACCCGCCCCCAAGTTCCCAGAGTGTTCCCTGCGCATGCTTATCCCCCCGTATACTTTTTTCAACTTTTTACATTTTTCTGCACACCTGGAGACTACTCCAAGTGTGCAGAAAAATCTTCCTGCCTCCCAGGTGCCCCCGATATGCGGATTTAGATATACGCATGGAAGGGGCAACTTGGCTATTAGATATATAGATATATATGTTAAGTGCCATTTATGATTCTAACCACATAAGCAGAAAGCAACCATGGACATATATTCAGATATTAACACTGGTTCATTGCTTACATGCATGCTGGGAAAATAAAATCCTGACATGCGGCTATTCTGCTGGGGCTTGTGGCCTTGTCTGCCCAGCCTAACTGCGCATGTTTCTGGTGTTGGTTAGCCCAGCTAAATGGAGAATAATAGCACCCTGTAACCATATCAGTAATATAGAGACTATTAGAGCTTCATAGTTTAAGAAGAAGAGTCTATTGTTTAGCTAAAAGAAGAAAAAACTTTGCTTGGGAAGACCCAACCCACAGATCTTAGCCCAATTAGAAGTTTATGACGAAGTATAATAGTATGCTTTGCTTGTTTATGTCATATTGAGTATAAAATGCTATGTCACCCATTGTAACTTTGAGAGAGTGGTGGGTATTCGAAGGTCCCAGAAAGCCTGGTTTATCTGTATTCTTCCCTTTATTAATTAATAAAAATGTTTAGTGTTTCTTCTCTACAGGACTGTTTTGTGTGTTTTCTTAAATTGGGTTGGGAAACACAACCAGAGACACAGGTCGGTGTCTTTCTCCATTAAAGTCCCTGCCCTCCTCAGATGCCATCCCCCCCCCCCCCAGTTTCCAGGTATTTCCCAACCCGGAGCTGGCAACCCTATGGCTTCACTAATGGAGGTCATTTTACAGCGTGTCAAACTGCCTTATTACCACAACCACCACTTTTCTCTTTTTTTGCTGAATCCAGTCTTGGGTATTGAACTAAAAAGCTATCTAGCTTGCTTGTGCTTTTGTATCTCGGGATGCCAGAAACACGACACACACCCTTTTATTTTCACTGTGAGCACAGTAACCCTCAAAGTGTGGTCGCTGAGCTTGTGGCAGATGATTTGTATGTGGGGAGCTCCTGTATAGGTTTTCTAGAAATTAAAAGCTGGGAGAAGGCTGGTGTTAACAAATTTCCTTTGTTCGCCACCCGGCCATGATAATATGCCCTGGGCCCTTTAAAAAACAAGTTCCCTGGGAAGTGCATTCCTTAGCAATGAAGCAGCTGCATTGCTGTTGGCACGTATGTGGTTTCTGCTGACGAGAGGCAGAGCGAGAAAGACGCAGTGGAAAATTCCACTCTGGTGTGAGCTTGAACAGGGCTGGCTAGGTCGGGCAGTGCAGCTGTAACGTACTGGCTTGCCTCCTAAGGGGGGAGGGGAGAAGGCAGGGCGTAGGGAAGACAGCTGCCCTGTTTGGGGTGGTGGTTGCATGTCCAAACTGGTTTAGCACACAGCGATGTACTTTGCAGGGCCAGTGGTGGAAGAGCAAAGGTAAACTACGTGTACCTAAGAGCCTCTCCCACACACGCCCTTTTTGCTTTGGATAACTGCATTCCAGACTACTTCACTTGCAAGTTTTTTAAAAATGTGGATTAGAATCCCATAAGTGGCCGAGACGCTGAACTGCAGGCTGGAAGGTCCGTAGTTCAGCAGTTCGAGACCCAAGTGCCGCAAGAAGGAGTGAGCTCCCGTCTCTGGTCCCAGCTCCTGCCAACCTAGCAGTTCAAAAGCAAGAAATTGCAAGTAGATAAATAGGTACCACTTCAGTGAGAAGGTAACAGCGTTCCATGCGCCTTGGCATCTAGTCATGCTGGCCACATGACCACGGAAATGTCTTCGGACAGCGCTGGCTCTTTGGCTTGGAAACGGAGATGAGCACCGCAACCCTAGAGTCGGATTCGACTGGCTTTGAAACAAGGGAAACCTTTACCTTTACACATTTTAGATATAAGTAGACATGGCAAGAATAAGGAAGAACCCCCATTTAATCAGTGGTTGAACGTAAGTGCATTGAGCCAGAGGAAAAACTCCAAAAGCTTTGTGGAAGTTCTTTCGTTAGGAATTGGATGAACTGAAACCCAGCCTGCATCACAGGACTTGTACACTTTAACCATTTATCTACTCCATTTCTGCCTTTCTTACTGAGACTCAAGGGGGATTACAAAATACATAAAACAATTCAGACAGCACAAGCCTAATTTGGTTTGGTCCTGCTAATGGGTATTACACGATTCTGTGCTTTGGGAACTCAATCACTCTGGCGGACTTGCAAGGGCCTCACTGAAGGGGGGCCCAGCCCCTTTAAAGCAGGGGTGCCTGAAGAAACTTCTAGAAATCAATTACTGAGGTAACATTTGCTGGTTTCCAATTCTCTCCCCACAGTAGGAGCTGAATAGCAAACAGGCTATGGTCAAATGAGGCAGAGGGAAAGGGAGCGGATCTTGTTCCCTCTCAAAGGACATTTCACAGGGATTTTCCCCCTTCTTTTTTTTGGGGGGGGGGGAGCAGTGTAACAGGAGAGAGTCTCTTTCTTCTCCTCTCTTCCCAAATTCTTCTCCTCCCCATTGGTGGTGGAGGAAAGTGTGTCAAGTTGCAGCTAACTTAATGGTGACTCCATCGGGTTTTCAAGGCAAGGAAGGTTCAGAGGTGCTCTGCCACTGCCTTCCTCCACATCCTTGGTGGTCCCCCTTCCAAATACTAGCCAGGGCTGACCTTACTTAGCTTCTGAGATCTGATGAGATCAGGCTAGCCTGGGCTATCCAGGTCAGGGCACCCCCGTTTTCAAAAACATTGGGGGTGGAATCCCTGAATGGTTTTGTCCCCCACTAGGGAAGGTTTTCGAGAAATTGCAAGTAGATAAATAGGTACCACTTTGGTGGGAAGGTAACAGCATTCCGTGAGCTTCAGCATCTAGTCATGCCGGCCACATGACCACGGAAATGTCTTTGGACAGCGCTGGCTCTTCGGCTTGGAAACGGAGATGAGCACCGCATCCCTAGAGTCGGATTCCACTGGCTTTCGAGCAAGGGAAACCTTTACCTAGGGAAAGTTTACAGGTACCTGTATTCTTTCTCCAGCAGCGATGCAACACCCGTGCCCTAGCAGGCAGCAGAAATGGACTCAAAACCAAACCCAAAACAGAGGTCCTCTGTGGATTGGGAGATTGGGGGGGGGGGCGTTAAGTTTCTAAGAGGGAACATGGCAACACCTGCAAGTCACGCTCTAGAGAGGTGAAAAAAGCCCTAGCCCTAAAAACCAAAAGGAGCAGGAGCCTGGAGCCCTTCCCTCCTTTCTAGAAAGTATCTTGAGCAGAGTGATTGGAAGGGGGGGGGGGTTTAGAGACAAATAATGCCTGCAGCTCAGTCAAAGTGGAACATAAGAGGTGGGGGAGAGCTGTTGGATGTTTTTCAGACACCTCCCCTTCTAAGGAATAGCCATTCTCCAAAACAAGTCAAGCACGTACACACCCACTCATAGCTCAGCGTTTTGGCTCCATAGACGCTCTCTGCAGAAATCCCTCCGCTCTGCCTTTCCCCACCCCCGCTTCTCCCCGGCCTGCTGAGTACAAAATAAGATTTTGAAGAGAAATTAATGAACCTTTCCTCTCCCACACGGACTCCACACACAAAAATCAAATGCGATTTATGCTGCTCCGGGGCTGCTGCAACTCTTGCAGAACAAGGAAAGGAAGAAATCCCCCCCCCATGCGCCCTCACCAGTTTCTGCGGCACCAGCACCACATGAACCCACCCACCCCCAAGCAAATTCTCCAGGGCAAACGATTAGTGTCAAGTTATAAATGAAGCACGTTTTTATTCTAGCTTCAGGAAGCCGCAACAGTGTCACTCCATTTTGCGTGTGGGAAATGGGAAACGCCCGGAACTGGCCGATAACACCTTGGAGGCATTGCTAAGGCTTCTTCACTAGCTAAATACTTCCAGTATCTTCATGGTTCCTATTCTTCCCCAACAGTTTCATACCTGGCGTGCTGGTATGTTATAGTGGCTACCGTGCTGAGTTAAGAGCTGAGAACTCGAGCTCCAAGTCCTATTCTGTCATGCAATTCGCCAGACACCCTTGGGCCAGTCACTCTTAGCCTAACCTGCCTACCTCACAAAGTTGGTGTGAGGATTTAAAAAATCTGGAAAGGAGAACCATGTACAGGGACGCAAAAAAAAACCCCCCGCGGCTGTTGCAGCGGCGGTCGACAGTGGCGGCGGCCATAACTTTTTAAAGAGCCCCTAACGAGAGCTGGGGAAGCCAGAATGACCTCTCTCATCTGGGGGACCCAGAGTGACATAAGAGAACATAAGAGACGCCGATGTTGGATCAGGCCAAAGGCCCATCCAGACCAACACTCTGTGTCACACAGAGGCCAGAAATACCAGGTGCCATCAGGAGGTCCACCAGTGGACATCACACGCGAGAGGTGGAATTTGCCCCTACGAGTCCAAGTCCACCACCCCGGGGCCCAGGGAGGCGGGGAAACGTTTCACCCCCACCCCCTGTGACCGTTGCCCCCGCTGCTGACAGCGGCGGCGGCCATAACTTTTTAAAGAGTCCCTAACGAGACCTGAGGGAGCATTGCCGCGTGAACATCATACGTGAGAGGTGGAATTTGCCTCTACAAGTCCAAGGCCACCACCCTGGGGCTCAGGGAGGCAGGGAAACGTTTTGCCCCCACCCCCGCAGCTGTTGCACCTGCCGCCAACAGTGGCGGCGACCATAACTTTTTAAAGAGCCCCTAACGAGAGCTGGGGGAGCCAAATGACCTCTCGTGTGTGATGTCTGATCAGCGTTGTCGCTCTGACATCACACGTGAGAGGTGGAATTTGCCCCTACGAGTCGAAGGCCACCACCCTGGTGCTCAGGGAAGCTGGGAAATGTTTCACCCCCACCCCCCACGGCCGTTGCATCTGCTGCCGAGGTGGAATATGCCCCTACAAGTCCAAGGCCACCACCCCGAGGCTCAGGGAAGTGGGGAAACGTTTCGCCCCCACCCCCCGCGGCCGTTACACCTGCCGCCGAAAGCAGCAGTGGCCATAACTTTTTAAAGAGCCCCTAACCCTAACGAGAGCTGGGGGAGCCGGAATGACCTCTGGGCAATCCTGGATTCTCTGTTAGCAATTATGTCCCTATGAGCAATCATGGATTCTCTATTGGCAATTATGTATTCCATTATCCCCTATGGGCAAGCGTCCTCTCCATTATTTCTTATGGGCAGTCATGGATTCTCTTTCTCTATTGGCATTATGGATTCTCTGTTGGCAATTATGTAGTGCACTATCTGGGCAATTCTACTCTCCAATTCTACTCTCCCCTCCTCTGGGCAATTCTACTCTCCATTATTCTCTATGGGCGCTCATGTATTCCCTATGGGCAATCCCTGTCCTTAGTTTTAGTGTCCCCCATGTACACCCCACCCTGCCTTCCTTAGAGGAAGGGTGGGATTTTAAAAAATGCAGTCGATACAAACTGTACTAGTTGTGAAAACAATCGTTTGTAAGGGGAGGGGAGAACAGGGTTGTTGTTTTTTTTGAACTTTTCTTTGACTTTGAAATGGACTTTTTGTCCCCCTCCCCCACTGCCTAGCTGCGGAGGTGTCGTGCGGTTTGGCCTTCTGTTGGGAGGCGGTGCGACTTTTTGTGGGCTATATAAAGGGAAAGCGTTCAGCAAAGCTGACATTGCAGGCGAGAGGGGGGGGTGGAGGCTGTTATGGCAACGAGCGCGTGCGGTCCCTCGTGCCTTGGAAGCGTCACTGACCGTGAAATGAGGAGGGGGCAGGAAGAGGGAGGTGGGGATGGGTGGGAGGCAAAGGTAAGTGCGTGGGTGGGCTAAAAGGAAGGTAATCTTCAGGTTAGTAGGGCTCTTTTTAGAATGTGAAATGAGGAGGGGTTTGTTCGTAGCCTGGGGAGGGCCTGTGGGGTCTGTGTGCAAAATCTTGTTGCAGTTTTTTTCCCCCCAGGTGGCAGCGGGAGTATCCTTGTTTCATCCCCCCCTCCCCAGGATGACTTCTCTTCTGAGTCCAGTTCTCTGGATTGAAAGGCAACACCCGCGAGCTCCCTTCTGCCAACTAGATCCAAATTCTGTCTCACAACACTGATTACTGCGACAGATGGGTAAGGGGGGAGACTAAACCAGCCATATAATCCCAACCCAGCTGTTTGTCTTTAATATAGTTGGGCAGCGGCTGTCCTGTTCCCTAGGGTGGGAAGGGGTGGGGGAACGATGACCCGGCAATTTCTAGATTCTTTTTCCAGATAAATTTCCCTCATAAGCATAAAAGCAAACAAAGCCTTCTTGGAGTGTGATCTGGCAAGACCTTTAAAGAAACTGAAACCTCTTGGCCAGTAGAAGACCATCAGAGAATCTGATGGGAAAAAGAGGCGAGTGAATGGAGCACATACCCCAGCCTGTAAGCCACCACCATAGAGAGATGTCCAGGGGCCTTTGGAAGTTTCCACAGCCTTTTCAGAAGAAAGCCTGCGTTCACATCTTGATGCTCTTAGAAGCGCTCAGATGAATCGCACACACATGCGCACAGAGCTGTTTTCCTTAATCTTCACACCCTTTCCCAGGCAATCCAAAAAGCATATCATCGAGGTGGCCTGCTAAACGACAGAGCTGCTGGGTGGGTTTCCCTTTTAATAGTCAAACCCACCTCTTTTTGTGGGGCGTGGGGATCACTCACTGATGTAGGTATCTTGATCTGCAATCTGGAAATTATTTTGGAAAGACGACTTTGTATAAGCCTTTAAAACTGCCACACACACAAAACTAAATCCAATAGACATTCCTTTAAAAAAGAAATTAGAAGAGCTTTTGCTGGACGATGTCTTTTCTTCTATAGACTTCAGTGGTTGTGCCGGACTCGCTGAGATTGGCTGAAACGCTAAGTAGAAAGAACTTCCGGACGATGTCACTTATGTCTTGCTGAGGGTTATTTCTGGTTGGCTGCTGACATCTCAGGGCTAAGTGTTAAACTGTATTTGCAAATGGTGGTACATGCAGTGCTCTGAAATGCTACTGTATAGAACCTATCTGCCATGTCGTTATGGATGGGAAAGAAGGTAACTAAAAGAGCGATCCTAAACAGGTCTACTCAAAACCTTACTCAGGTCTATTTAATGAAGCTTACTCCCAGGAAAGTGTTTTAGGATTGCATGATAAATTATACATTGTAAGGGAAGTAAAATGAGGGAAGGAACCTTTTCCCCCAGAAAATTTCAAGAAGCCCACTGCTTGCTAGCTTGGGGTTGCCAACCTTCAGGTGAGAAGAAGAAGAGGAGGAGACTGGATTTATACCCCGCCCTTCACTACCCAAAGGAGTCTCAGAGCGGCTTACAAACTCCTTTCCCTCTCCCTCCCCACAACAGACACCCTGTGAGGTAGGTGGGGCCGAGAGAGCTCTTGACAGAAACTGCTCTTTTTCGAGAACAGCTCTTATCAGAACTAGGGCTTGCCCAAGGTCATCCAGCCAGGTGCATGTGGAGGAGTGGGGAATCAAACCCGGTTCTCCCAGATTAGAGTCCATGCACTTAACCACTGCACCAAACTGGCTCTCTGGAGATCTTTTGGAAATTACAACTGATCTTCAGACTACATAAATGTCATTCATTTATTTAAAACATTCCACTTCTCCTGAAGAAAATGGCTGCTTTGGAAGCCAGTTTGGTGCATGGCATTATACCCTACTGAGATCCCTCCCCTCCTTACCCCACTCTCCCAGGTGTGTCTGAATCCAGGGTTGGCAACCTTATCCTAGCTGGGCTGACAGGCACTTGAATTTGGTCTTTTTGTTTTTTGCTCTGAGTTTACCCTGAAGCTTGCAGGAGAGTTACGAGTTTTCTGTGTGCAAAACAGTCAGTGTTTCTCTGCTATTAAGGAAGGTTCCTAGTATCTAAAGGGACAGGCAAATGTTCTGTCTTCACCAAAAAAAGGACATTGTCAAAGCCGTGCTTTAAAAGCACTTACCATTCCAGATAAACCATCAAACCATAATTATTGGCTGTTTTGTCCTTCCCCAAAGAAGGCAGATAAGCCTGCCCTTCCATTCCTCTTTGATTTTTATCATATTTGATAGTTGATCAGAATTTTAGAATCAGATTTGAACACATTAAAATGAATAAAGTAGTGCCGTATTATAAATGATTGTACTTTAATAATACCTCAAAAACACAAAAATACTGGGTTCCATAGTTTTTGAATGCATTTCTAATTGACAGTGTCCTTTAAAAAAATAACTGTGCTGTTTTGGTGCGAAGAACTTGGTTCTGAGGGTGATGGGGTAGAGAAAAAGCAAAAGAGAAAGAAGAGCCAAAGAGTTACGCATCTCTTCACCAAGTCACTTATAGCTTTCCTGTTACTGAAATGGTTTTTGGATCTCATCTTTCACATTTTTGAAGCACATTAACATGCTAGTAATTCTGGGGGTGGGGAGGGTCAGGGAACAGCTGCAGGGGTAAGCTTTCATGAAGCATCTTGATCGGGTTAAATTTAGCAGCCTAAAAATACAGATTTTGGGGGATTAAGATGTGGTCCTTTCTAAAGCTATGGGCAAGGCTTACATTTCTGTCTCCCATGTTGGCTCATTCAGAAACACAGCATTTCTAGAGGGTGAGCGGTAGGATTACTAAAACATGGCATCAAAAAAGTGCAATTTCAGAAATTAGTCTTGAATAACAAGTTATTGAGATTTTTTGGGGTGCTGCATTTTATGTTGTGTGACTTGTTTTGTTCACTTAAGATTGTATGGGAATATTTAAGGATAATCTATGTGTCAGGGTGGTTAAACAAATACACTCTTACCCTGCTTGGACCAGAAACTCCTCCTTCCCTCTGTGCGGCATTCTAAAATTTTAGAATAGGCTCCCTTGTGATGGAATGACTCCGTAATCGTGACCTTCTTACAGGATTACTTTGCACTCCCAATTCTCTGACCTATTAACAAGCTCTCAAAATCACATTGAATTTAAATCCCACTAAATATTGGGGCTTGCTGGCCGTCTACAGTGTCCTTGCAAGGGGCACAGTTTCTTCCCATTGTAGTGTTAACTTCTAATTGGCTTCCTCCTTCCTTTTTCCCAACTATACCTAAACATTTTAAGCTTTTCCACACAATCTAATGATGCTAATGGCTTGTGCTTTATGTGTTCCAATAATTACCATCGTGCTAAACAATTTGGGGCAAGGCAGGATTTTGATCTGTGCTTTATGTGTCCTAATAATTACCATCATTCTAAATACTGAGTTTGGGCCAAGGCAGGATTTCAGTGGGGTTCTCAGAAAGAATTCTGTTCCTTTATACTTTGCAGTATGTTAACAGTATTGCTTCTCATGTAAGTGAAAAAATTAACTTTTTTTCCCACAGCAAAAACCATGACAAACCTTGCGTTGATTGTAGATGCGTGTTTTTTTAATTTAAATAAAATTTTCCCAAACAGTTTTCATTTACTTTCATAATAAAACTCAACATTTTAAATAGTGATTGACTGTAGTTATTTACTTGTCGCATGACATTCCTAAGCTCTGTTTATATAAAACTTTGGTTCTGAGCCAGTTTGGTGTAGTGGTTAAATGTGTGGACCCTAATCTGGAAGAACCGGGTTTGATTCCCCATTCCTTCACTTGCAGCTGCTGGAGGACCTTGGGCAAGCCATAGTTCTTTCAGAGCTGTTCCTTAGAGAGCTTTCTCAGCTCCACCTACCTCACAGGGTGTCTGTTGTGGGGAGGGGAAGGGAAAGGGGTTTGGAAGCCGCTCTGAAACTCAGAGTGAAGGGCGGGGGTATAAATCCAATCTCTTCTTCTTCTGGCTAACTTTGAGAACAGATAGTTTATTAAGATTTTAAATACTTATGGGGGTTATGTGTTGCTCTCGAAGCCATTTGGGGTTTCATGCAGCACCTTTACATCAATTATAAAAGTTTTTCAGGCTGGTTAGACATAACTGCTTTTAGATGCCTCTATCAATCAAACAAGATTCCCAAAATACCATAAAGCAAATGACAGCCTTGGTGAAAATAAAAAGGACCTGTTTTTAAATGTCACAATGGCTAATTTAAGGCTGCTGCATTTGAACAGCTGGGAATATTTTTCAATGTGGTTGGGTATTTTTAGTTTACCTTAATGTCTGAGAAATGTCTCTTTAGTCCCAAATAAACCTGTGACATCTTCATACCCATTCCCCCCCCAAAAACGGGTGTTAATCATGCATGATTTCACAGTTGGCTCTAGCAAAAGAAACAGGCTGATTCATTCACAAAGAGGCATAAGAGATAGTTCTTGCAGAACCAAGAAATGTTAAAATTAGGTGGTCCTTGGTCATTTTACTGTGGGTAAAAATACTTCGGCTGAAGGGTAAGCTCTCTAAGAGCTAGTGAGCTCTGACTCACGAAAGCTTATGCTGGAATAGAGGTTCAGCTTCAAGGTGCCTGTGGACTTGTCTTGGCTCTGTGATAAGAAAGAACTGGTTATTTGAGGTTATTAGTCTTCAAGGTACCACTGGAGTTTTTTATTTTGCTACAGCAGAGTAATGGCTACCCCTTGGCAACACAAAATAGTTGTCAGTGTTGGGTGCAAAAATGGGGAGAGCCAAAATCTTTGCAAGTATAACTCTGATGGATGCCACAAAAAGTAACTGCTAAAAAGCCAGAACAAAGTCCAGTGGCACCTTTAAGACCAACAAAGTTTTATTCAATAAATTGAATAAAACAATTGGTCTTAAAGGTGCCACTGGACTCTTTGGTCTGCTGCTTCAGACCACAATGGCTACCCACCTGAATGCAAAAAAAGCCAGCTATCTTTGTGGAAGTCTTACCCTGTTAGCTTTTGCTATAAATGGTTTGTGTCACCTTGTTAGTAACTCTCTTAGAGTCACTGCAACCAAAGTAAACCCACCATCCTGGCTCTGATCTTTCTAACTGCCTGGAGACTCTTCTGCTGCAAATGGGACACATTTTTCACACACACACCCTTTTTTTTTTGCAGTTTGCCAAAAGATGGCTGGAGGTTTCCTTGCATTTGGAAGTTGCATTTGAGCTTCCAATACCAGTGCCCTAGGGCTCCGAGGAACAGCTTGAAAATGCTAGGAAAGGAGCAGCCCTATTCTCTCTGGTACTCTTTTTCTCTCTCGGAGAATGCATCTGTTTTGGGTGTTTTGACTACATTAAGGTAAAGGTTTCCGTTGCTCGAAAGCCAGTCGAATCCGACTCTAGGGCGTGGTGCTCATCTCCATTTCCAAGCCGAAGAGCCAGCGCTGTCCGAAGACGTTTCTGTGGTCATGTGACCGACATGACTAGACACCGAGGCTCACAGAACACTTACATTAGGAGGAAAGAAAGCAAAAGACATTGGTGGTTGGCACACCT